CCCCACTCTGTTTCTGGTGAATCCTCTCACCACCCCTGCACCTCTGGCCTGTACCCCAGTTCTGTATGCATAAATAAATCAATCTTTAAAAAAAATCATAAAGTCTAATGGCATATTCTTCCCAAAACTATAGAGGCCATTTTGTGCCAGACATGGTGTGGGTTATAAGTTAAAAGCTAAATCTTCTGTGTTGGCAAAGCCATAATTGCCTGTGCCCTCCACAATTTGTCCACAAAATGCAGAACCACATGTTGACTCACAGCCCTTTAGGCCTTACTTTTAGATGCACTGTAATGACATATAATCAAATATGTATATACATCAGTGCAAATTTGATAGAGAATGACTGATGACACCTCAAGTTATTGAATATAAATATAATTAAGGGCCCTCCGTGGTGGCACAATGAGTTAAAGTGCAGCACTGCAAAACTAGCTGTAGCCACTTCAATGAGGAGCTGACCCACATGGCATACAGACCTCTCCTGTCTCGCCTGCTGCTCCCCTCAGCAGTGTACTTGTCGTTCTGCCTGTTCTGCTTCCTACTGTCTCTGATGAATCTTCTCACCCCTCCTCTACCAGCACCTCTGGCTGCACCCCAGTTTTTAATATAAATAAAATAAATCTTAAAAAAAAACAAATTAAAAAAATAAATATAATTAAGACAAATGAGATAAGTGAAATAATTCTGCATTATTACTTTGGTAGCTTAAATCTAGGAGATGTAAACAGCTAGCATCAAACTCTCCTAGATGCCCTCACCCTACCTAATTCAGAAAGCCAATCAATAGAAGTGTTAACAGTGATTTGTTGTACAGGAGAATATAATGTTTTGTCACTTAATATAGATGTTTCATATAAGGAACAAAAATCTTTTTTCCATTACAAACTATCTAATGGTTTTCACATTTCTCCCTAACATCCCCAAATGCAGTTAGAAAGAAATTCAACTAAGTTTTTCAGGTGCAAGAGATATTATTACTTCAGTTAGAAACAAATTGAATATCATTAAAAAGAAATAATCAGAGCATGTAAAAGTTAATCTGCGAATTGTACATAAAGATAATGGCAGCCAGCTTACCTCTTCCAGAGTAGTCTGACTTACTAAGAAATTTGTGATATTTAAAGCTGTCTTGTTAGTTTCCAGCAGGTCAAATATGTTTGCTACTCCCCCTGCAGTGACGGGGACATGATACTCCAGCATGCTGAGGTGCTGATCCTGTGGGAACCAAGGCAAACAAACATTTTGCAATATCAGGTAATATTCACTTGACTAGAGATAATGTGCCCGAGAGCCGAGGAAAATACAGAAATTTATTCCACTGAAAACTATGTGGGAGTGTAAATAATGCGTACATTCTGAATCTAAGAGCTTGCAAAGATGAGATGAAAAGTTTTATGAATGTCAAAAAGAAAACTAATTAAAAAGATAGTGGAAATTCCAGAGCATTCTATATTCATGTATTCTTAAAAATTTATTACAGTTTTGCCTAGAAAAAAGGTATTGGGGAATGGCATTCTGACATCAGAATTATGCTTAGCTCACATAAGCTTTCTCAAATCTTATCTCATTTCTAGATCATTTTTATGGGAGGCTTATTTTAAAAAACTAATTTATATTGGCTAAAGATGTTAGATTTCAGGCCCTCCCTGGTGGTGCTGTGGGTTAAAGCGCAGCACTGCAAGCTTGGCCATGACCACTTTGGTGCGAGTTTGATCCCTGCCCGGCTGTGACCCACATGGAGCAGCAGACCTTGCCTGTCTTGCCCGCTGCTCCCTCAGCAGTGTACCTCGTCCATCGCCTGTTCTGATCCCCACTCTGACTATGGTGCATCCTCTTACTGCCCCTGCACCTCTGGCCTGTACCCCAGTTCTGTATGCATAAATAAATAAATCTTTTTTTTAAGAAGATGTTAGATTTCAAAGTCTAAGAGAAATTTCATTCAAATAATGTCATGTTCTTTCTGAACTCACCCTCCAGTCTCATTTCTTAACTTTAGTTCATAAGGATCACCCTCTACTTAGCAATCTATTGCTAGTTCTTTGGAGCTTCTTTAACACCATGTTTTACTGACTGTTAATCATTACTACATCCAATTTATATTTATTCTAAAATAACTCTCAAGTGTAACTTCATCTCTATTTGTACCATGGGTATTATTAACCTGATGCTCCTTATTCCATATCTGATTTACTGCCACAGTCTTTCCAGAAGCCTAGAAACCATCTATACTCACATATTCTAGCATGAGGTATTAGGATAGTCAGTTATTTATTTATTTATTTTTATTCTATCTCTCTCTCTTTTTAAAATCATTTTGTAGATTTGTACATTTTTCATCTTGGTTATAATCCCTGTGGACTTCTCATGACCAATTCACACATGTGCCATCACCAAGGTCCCATGCGCCCTTTCCACTCCAGTTTTGATCCTGTTCCCCTCTCCACCTCTGTAGAATGTCTCTGGTTTATAGTTGTTTGTTGATTTTTGTTTTTACTTTATTACAATTGCTTTTTTTTTATTTAAAAAAAAA